GAAGGAAGGAAGGAGGTTTTATTTCTTGTGCAAACAAGGACACTTGGTACAAGATCTCGCCCTCTCTCTTCACTTCACACTCTTTCAATCACACCCATCCTTTTACTACTTCTTGAATGTCCCTGTCTTTGATCTGTCTTAGAGGTTCTGAATGCCCAGAACATCCTGAACATTCTTTCAGACATTGGTGTAAAAGTCTCTTCTGGGAGGGCCTATCCAGCACCCTGATTTAGGAGACTTGAACCCTTTTCATAAGTCTTTCTCAAAATGAGAGCTGCTATATCTGCATTCACACTTGGCTTTTGTATTTGTATCTATCTCTAGTAGCCTGGTATCAAGAAGCTGTGCTGCAATCCTAAAAGCACAAGGTTTGAGTAGCTGCTCCATGGAAGAACAGACTATCTCCTTCCATGCGATTAACTGCCTCTGAAAACCCATAAGAGGATCAGCTATGGGTGGGTTCTGACTTGATAACACACAACAAAAACTCTTATCTTTTTTTAAGCTGCACAAAGTAAGGTTCAAGTCTATTTTATTCACCACCCTATAATTTCTTTCTGAGTGATACTCATTAAGCATCTGCTGGGTTAATCAAATGAAACCAACCTCTTGCAATATACTCTTCAGCCATGCTTTATCCCATCTGAGCTTATACACGGTGTTGCTAAAGTCCTAATCCATCCTTTTCCACATGTTGGGAATTTTTGGAAGCAATATTTTAAATTGGAGTTTGAACTCACCACGCCATTTGCTCTCACAATGGGTGCTTTCAAATCAGGAAAAACATTCTGCAAGTACCATTTGAAGCTTTTGCATTTCAGTTTCTTTCGAAGCTCCCTTTGCTGGGTGAGGTTTCCAACATCTAAACCTTGGTCAATGAGGTGGTCTCCGTGGCCATAGAAAAGCTCCTTGTAGTCATCAAGCCAGACCTCAGCCACACGTACCAAATTCCGCTCCACTGTTTTCATCCGGTCTTTGGGGAAGGAATATGGATTGTCATTTCTGAATATGTGGCCCACTCGGGAACAGGGAATAATCTCAATTTCACCACCACACATCCACACCTGGAACAATTGATAAAAAGCATCTATTATCAAATGATTGTCTACAAATTGGGCAAGTAATAAGGACAAAGAAAATACACCTGAAAACTTTGCCCTTCCTCTGCCTCTTTGAAGTCCAACCTGCAGCGTCTAAAACACTCTTTTCAGAAGAAATTGAGCTCAGCAGGGATCATTTATTTTACTATTGCTCTGGACTAGCTTGAAATTAGTGCAATTATTTATTTTCCTAATCTGTAGTGTGATATGTCAAGTGCGTTAATGGTTGGTTACCCAATGCGGACAGAGAGTGGGGTGGAGCTCCCCGATTAAAACAAGCTTGGAAGGAGGAGTGGCATCCACTTCCATAATAGCTTGCCTCTGGAAACCCTATGAACCTGGAGAGAGGATTAAAGACACATAAGCATTGAAGACTCTCCTACATAGGGTCGCTATGAGTGGCCTGCGACTCGGTGGCACTTAACAACAACAACAGCAATCTGTTTAGTGCCATCAAGCCGTAGATGACTGATAGTGACCCTATGAACGAAAGGCCTGACAGTTGTATAACTTCCATCTCTTCTCCAAGTTCATATAGTTTCCGAAGGCAAGCTATTTTGGAAGTGGGTGCCACTCTGGCTTCCAAACTTGTTTTAATCAGGGAGCTCCAGCAAACACTGTCCACTATAGGTAACCTGTTGGCATAGTGGATAGAAAGTTATGTTAACAAGCCAATAGTGTGTGATTTTAATCTGCGGTCATCAGGCCTGGTTTTAATTGTTTTTGGTCAAACACTCTTCTAAGAGGTATAGCATGGTTTGTCCATTTTCTGTACAGAGATGACTTGTGGTTGCTGTGATGCTAAACACAGTGACACTGATGTGTCAAATGTGATAATGGTTATCAGCTTCATAGTGAGGTTTTCAGATATTTTGCTGTAATTTTCTAAGTTGTTAATCAATGGTTGCAAATTACCCGCAGTCATATGTAATGCCCAAAGGAGCTACTATATTGGCAACACCTGACCCATGGTTGGTGTTTGCACTAGGCCACTGTTTGTACTACTGCCACTGATGTTAACCAAGATTAACTCACCCCTTACTGGATGTCCCCACTGATTCCAAGAGAAACAATTCCAGAGAGGTATTCTGTGTCAGACATGAATCCCAAAGTCTTTTACTCCAAATAAGAGTTATTTTCCCCAGAAACAGTATTGTGAAATTTAAAGAATTCTTATACATTTCAAGACAGTTATCAATTCTCCCTCATTGAACCAAGGATGAGAAAATATTAATCCAAAGATCTGAAAATTTCTGTGAAATTTCCTCCCAGATTTAGTCATATATTTGATCACATTACTTAAATAGAACCATTTAAATAGAATGGATCTTTAATTGTAAAGAGATTTAGAGAAATGCTTGGTGATACCTTGAATGAGAGTTCCATATTCTCTCCACCCCACACATCAAGCCCAGGGTCATATGTTCCAAGTTCAAAAAAGTATTGTTTATCTATAGAAAATAATCCACCTGCCATAACGGGGCACCTGGAAGGAAAAAGAAAAAGAGGTTTAATCTTGGACTTCATGGAATTCAACTTTTATAACATGACTTTCCTATACTATTGTGATGGAGTTTGGAGGCATTTCAGAATAGCTATGAAATGGAAGGGAGCGGTGATGTCTTAGTGGTAAAACTTGCACTGCCAAACCAAAGACATGTGATTCAAATCTACCAGCCTATATGTAGGAAAAATACAGGCAATCTCTTCTCATAGGATTTACAACCTCTGAAAAACCACCAGAGGGTCTGACATGACACCACCACACTAAATGAGGGGAGGTCTGGAATGAAGTGTCATAAATGCTAGCTAAGTGCTAAGTTTCTTGGTTTAGGCTAATAGATGATGATTGTTGTTATTATTAGGTGCCATCAAGTTGAGCACAACTCATAGAGACCTTATGAACAAAAGATCTGAGCCCTATTCTATCCTGCACAATTCTCACACTTCCTGACACACCAGAGCCCAATGCAGCAGTCATTGTATCAATCCACCTGGTTGAGGGTCTTCCTCTCCATCAACAACACTCCCCCCTTCCCAATATCATGTTCTTATCCAAGGAATAGCACCTCCTAGCAACATATCCAAAGTATGTGAGGTGAAGCTTCATCATTCTTGCCTCCTAAGAACACTTTAGTTACACCATCTCCAAAACATATTTGTTCATACTCTCTGCTGTCCATGGGATGTTCAGTGCTCTTCTCCAACACCACAGCTCAAAGGCATCAATTCTTCTTCTGTCATCCTTATTGCCCAGATCTCAGATGCATAAGTAGTGATTGGAAAGTCCATGGCTTGAATCAGACGCACCTTAGTCCTCAAAGTGACATTACTATTTCTCACTAATTTGGAAAGGTCCTTAACTACAGATTTTCCTAGTGCAATATGTATCCTTATTTCATGACTACTGGTACCAAGGGTGTTAATTGTGTATCCAATCAAGATGAAGCTGTTGACCGTTTCAAACTCCTCTCCATCTGTTTTCCTGACATTGAGATGCAATCCATATAGAAGGCTACATTCCTTGATCTTCTGCAACAAGTGCTTCAAGTCCTGCTCACTTTCAGCAAGCAAGGTTGTGTCATCTGCATAACACAGGTTATTGATGAGTCTCTCTCCAATCCTGATGCCACATTCTCTCTTATAGAGTCCAGCTTCTTGGATAATTTGCTCAGCATAAAGATTGAATAGGTATGGAGAGAGAATACAACCCTGGAACAATCCCTTCCCAAATCCAAACCATGCAGTGCTCCCCTGCTCTGTTCACCCAACAGTCTCTTGGTCCAGTTATAGGCGCCTCCTGACCACAGTCAAGTGCTCTGGGATTCCCATTCTTCTCAATGACAGACCATGATTAGGTTCGGCAAAGTTAGGACCTGGAGCTGTCCTTTACATTCTGAAACAAAAGTTGTTTTTTAGCATTTTTATGGTGTAAAATAAGTGCCAGGCACTGTTTTAACTATTTAATATGTACTAGGGCAGACTTTATAGTAATCTTTTCTAGTATTATTATAATTAAATTGCAACCCAGAGAAAGTAAGAAACTTGCCCAAGGTCACAGACTTGTATTTTGTTTTTGTAGAGTTCACATGTACCCTGGACTGGCTATTTAGTTAATGAGACCTTCAATCACTCCACTTCACTGCCTCTCAACCATCGTCAAAATGTTAGTGCTCTTGATCTCGTTTAACTCATGAAACAACCTAAAGGGTAGGTAGCTATTTCATTGAATTTTAATGTAAATGATTTCATTAGTCTCCACATTGGTTTTAATGTAAGGAAACGGAGTCCTAGATAGGTAAAGGTTGAGCTTAACCCTGCTACTAAGCTGTAGAGTTGAGATTCAAACCCAGAGAGTCAGACCTTCGGGCTTTCATGAATATTACTGAAACGAGATTTTTGTCAGCAGTTAAAAATGGCCTTAACCACTTTCCATAGTGAGCGAGAGAATGATTTTTGTGAAGGGTACACAAAATACAGGATAAAGTAATTCTTGTCCAAATTCACCCCTGTCTCATTCGTGCATGTAGTCTATCAGCACTCCTTAGACACCGTTGCCAGGCTAACTGGAGAGCAATGGTGACTACAGCCTGACCTCAACCTCCATACTGACTCGCTGTAGGAAAACGGGAAGGAAGCATAGCTTCTGCAGGTGTGGAATTAAGAGCGTGTTAGAGTCAGGCAAATGTGTGTTTAAAAGACAAGTTCTTTCATTAGCTGCGAAGTCTTGGAAAAATTACTTAACTCTCTTAAGTTTCAATTGCCACAACTCCATAAGGGTGCTATTCCTCATCCTTCTCCTAGGGTTATTGAAATGCTTATATGATTGGCACTTAAATGGTAGTACTCCCACTTCACTCCCCCGAGGTATCAATTCTGAAAGTAGCGCTTCTGCTAAGGAGAGAAGCATGATTTATTGAAGGGTAAATTCAAGGGAAAAGTGCTGCAATTCACACAGTCTGGCCTCTGGCTTTCTCTGGGGACTCGTGAGCTTGCGTCTGCGCTGGTTCTTTCTCCAACAGCGGAAGCACCTGGATTCCCACTGCTCCGCCTGTGGCTGGTTTAGCACCTTTGCGGCTCTTGGCTTTGAGAAAAGAAAGAAACCCATCATTCTTCTTTTTCTTCATGTCAAAAGTATCTCTTAATTGATTCACAGAAATTGGCACCTCTCCCATGGATTGAATATTTCTATTACAATTATTTATGTTTACTTTAACATGATATATGGTATAGTATTTATGCAACACATATAACAATTACTCTGTGCTTCTTTTTTTATTTTTATTTTATTATTTTGTGTGTGTCTGTACCGTCAAATCAGATCCGACAGGTACAGGAGGAGATTGCCCCTCCTTTTCTGGCAGAGCATCTGATGGATTCGAACTTCGCATCTCTGGGATTGCAGTACAGCTTCTTGCCACTAGGCCACCAGAGCTCCCCTCACTCCTAACTAAAAGATCAGCACTTCAAACCTCCCAACTGCCCCATGGAAGAAAAGGCTTAAATATCACTTTCCCATACAGATTGTTGTTGTGTACTGTGGGCTTGGAACAGATTCACAGGTGACCCTCCAGTGGGTTTTCAGAGACTATAAAACGCAACAAGAGGAGATTGGCCGTACTTCCCTCTGCAGAGGTAGATTTGAACTACGTACCTTAGGGTTAGTAGTGCAACATCTTACAACTAAATCACCATGCTAGAAAACACTACAGGGCAGCTGAACTCTATTCTAGAGGTTCACCATGAGTTGGAATCAAACACAACAAAGACAAAAACAAACTCAGGATGAACAGGAACAGTGCTTATAAATGTCTCTAGACTTAAGACAGAAAAAGCCACAGCTGACCATTTAAGATACATGGTTCAGAATAGAACAGATAATATATCAGAAAACTTTTGTTTTCTTTTGGCATCTATGGCTAGAACTATAGTCCTTGATATTACAGATTGGCAGGATACTGTTTGTATTGTGGAATTGCTTTCTGTGCTTGGAAAAATGAAAAGGAAAAACAAAACAAAACACCCAACAAAAACTAAAAACCAAAAAACCAAATCCCATGATAGTTAATCTTGAATTTCACACACTTACCTTATTACATCAGTTTCTTTAATTCCATTTTTGGCAACGACATCTGGAGGAATTGTTCTCCATCCAAAGTTCATGGGCCACACAAAGATGCCTCTTTGAAAGTTGTCCACTGTCATGTAACTAAGCCAGGGAAGCAAACAAAAGTGCTGTCTGGAATTACATACATCTTTGAATTCTTCATCAACCCACACCAAATCTTGTTAAAATACTAAAATGGGTCCTTATAGAAGTTATTTTAGAGTATCACAAAGTTTTTAATAATAACTAAAAGTTTATTAGTATAATCAGCTTGTTTGTAATTGCTATTTGCTCTGGTCCTTTGTGTGGAAAGGGAAAACCACAACACACATAATAATTTAATAGCAAATATATGCTCCAAATAAAAAGAACAACTTAATATGCTGTTGTTTTTGTTGTTATATGTCTTCAAGTCACTTGTGACTCATTGTAACCCTATTGACAACAGCTCTGAACCCTGCTCTATCTTGAACCAACCTCATTGTCTTTGACATAACTACCCTCAATACCCCAGCCACTGAGTCAATGCATTTCATCCAGGGTCTTCCTCTTTTGCACAGTCCCTCCTTGTAATATGCCCAAAGTATGTCAAACAATGCTTCAAAATCCTTGCCTTCAAGGAGCAGTCTCTAGACTGACATTGTTGCTCTTCAATATTCTGGAGAGGTTCTTGACAGCAGATTCTCTCAATCCAATTTTTTTTTTTTTTTTTTTTTTGCGTGCATTAGACAATTTATTGCCGCAAAGAGCAATTTGTCTTTTGATTTCCTATCTACAGGTACCAAAAGTGTTGCTCGTGGAACTAAGTAAGCTGAAGCTCTTCTCTTCACTGTCTATCATGATGCTGCCAATTGGCCCCATGATGAGAATCTTTGTCTTCTTGATGTTGAACTTCAATCCATATTGAAGGCTGTAGTCCTTGACTTTCTGCAGCAAATGCCCCAGGTACTCCTGAGTTTCAGCAAGCAAGGTTGTATCATCTGCATAATGCAGATTGTTCTTGAGTCTTCCTCCAGTCTTGATGCCACATTTCTCCTCATAAAGCCCAGCCTCGCAGATTATGTGTTCCACATATAGCTTGAAAAGGTATGGAGATGGGATGCATCCTGGCAAACACATTTCCTGATATTGAATCATGCAGTGTTTCCTTGCTCTGTTCTGATAACTCCCTCCAGGTCCTAGTATAAGTTTTATATAAGCCAAAGAGGAGTAAATAGATGACTTCTATATACTATTGCAATCAGAAATTGATTCAACAAGTAACCAAGGTGCATTAACAATAATGGATGACTGGAAAGCAAAATTGGAACTAAGGAAGTAGGATTGGTAGTCAGAAATGTTGACTCAGTGACCAAAATGAGGTTGAAGAGAGAATGATAGAATTCTGTAAAATCAATGAATTATTCACTGAAAATACTTTTTCTAAGAAACACAGATGGTGACTACACACATGGACCTCACCTGAAAGCCTACACAAGAATTAGAATGATTACATATGTGGGAAAAATTGTTTAAGAAGCTCAATATCAGCTGTGAAAAATAGTCCAGGTGCTGATTATAAATCAGATCATCACCTACTTGTATGCAAGTTCAAACTGAAGCTAAAGAAAATCAAATACACAAGAATCAAAATTTGAACTTGAGTTTATCCCTCCTGAATTTAAAGACCATCTCAAAACAAGTTTGAGGCTATGAATACTAATGAGTGAAGACCAGGTAAACTGTGGAAAGATATAAAGAATATCATCCATGAAGAATGCAAAAGGTCATTACAAAGATGGAGGAAGAAGAAAAGGCCAAAATGGTTGCCAGAAGAGACTCTGAATATTGCAGCAGAGTGCCAAGAAGCCAAAGCACAGCGAAAAAAGAAAGATGTTAAGGAGCTGAACAGAGTATTTCAAATGGCACCATGGGAAGACAAAGCTAAGAATTATACGGAAATGTACAAAGAGCTGGAGTTTGGAAATCAAAAGTGATGAACTGGCTCTGCATTTCTTAAGCTGAAGGAAACGAAGAAAAAATTCAAGCCTCCAGTTGGGGTGAATGTTGAAAGACCCAGGAAGCACCAAAAGAAGATGGAAGGGATTAGGGAAGTCTGATGCTGAACCATGCCTTCTGCTGCCACATTGGTCTGTTTCATTTCACAGATGAGGGAGTACTTTGTGCTATTCCCTCCCCATCCTCCCTCCCCACCAGTTCCCAGGATGGGGCAGAGCCCTGTAGAGGGATCAACCCACCCCCCTGGACTATATCCCCATATCCCCCTTATATCTCTTTAAAGGATATCTCCAATATCCAAAATCCTGTCGAGACATCACCTGCAACTAGTACAAGAACACGATCAAGGACCTGCGACTGAAATGTCTCATAGAGTAGAAAAGAGAGGTACTTTGGCCTTGAACACTGCTGTCTATCTACATCATGTGGGATTTATTAAGTTCAAGAAGAGTTCATGTGATTCAGTCTGAAAAATTATGTACATGCACTTTATGAACTTTGTATGTAAACCAGTAAAAAAAGGAGAAAAAAAAAAGTCAGGTAGAGACATGGTTTCTAGAGGACAATAGTCATCCTGCATCGGGAAAACAAGAGGTAAGCACCGATATACAAGTCCTTCACATAACATTGCCACACTCTGGGAAATTATATAGTTACAACAACATAATATCTACTAAGAAAAGACTCGCATAACGTCAAGAAAGCAGCAGTCAACATGAAAAAACAAAATAACCCTTATACAAAGCAGACCAAATGAATACCCCAGATAGAAAAACTGATAAATACATGAATGTCCAGTTATTTGAACAGATACAGAAGAAGATGCAAGTGATGGAAGAAGCAATGGAAGCCATTAAGAGAGTAAATACCCCAGAGACAGTGATCTAGAAGAAATATATTGATGAAGAGTAACTTGAACAGCTATGGAAGAAAATGTAAAAGATGGAAGAAAGAATTTATAATATAGATAAAGAGATACAATAAATTATAAAATCATCACAAGACAGAGAGGCTACAGCCAACACAGTAATGGAAATAACAGAAAAGCATGAAAATGCAATCTAGAATATTAAGACAAAAACAGCAGAAATGTCCAACACACTGGTGGGACAAAAACTAGAATTGATGGATGGAACAGATAGTCAGTGACCTGGAAGACTAGAGTCTCAATGGAAACATAGAATAAAAATCAGAGATGAGGTCTAAAGAAAATTAAGAAAACATTAGAATCATGTGGAAAGACATCAAAAGGAACAGCATACATATGATTGGAATTTCAGATTGTGAGAGGGACAGGGAAATCACTGAGAAAATTTTAAAAGAAATCCTAGAGAAAAACTTCCCAGCCATTATGAAGAATAGGAAAATCTACATTCAAGATTGGACCCAAAAAGAAAAATATCAAGACATATCATAGTCAAATTCTCCACATTAAAAGTTTAGGATAGAATACTAAGAGAAGCACAAGAAAAACCAGTTATCTACAAAGGGAAACAATTAGACTATGTTCTTATTTCTCAGTGGAAATCATGCAAGCTAGAAGATAATGGGATGACATATACAGAAAACGGAAAGAAAACAATTGTCCCGCAAGGATCTTATATCCAGAAAAGCTCTCCATCAAATATGAAGGAGAAATTAGGTCCTGTGCAGAAAAGAAGAACCTTAAGGAATATGTGAAAACAAGACCAAACTAAAAGAAATTTTAAGTGCAGTGTTTCACACAGAGATGCCAAAGGAAAGTACATATGCCATAGTAACCAGAAACAATAGAAAAAGAAAGACAGTATAATGGGAATGGTAAAATCTGGCCTGACAATAATCACACTTAATGTGCACCAATTAAGAGAAAAAGAGTAGGAGAATGGATTAAAAAACAAGCCCATCAATATGTTGCCTACAAGAGACACACCTAAAAAAAAGAAGAAAAAGACAGACTCAAAATCAAAGGTTGGGAAAAAATATACCAAACAAATAACATCCTCAAAAAAGCAGGAGTGGCAATAATAATGTCTGATAAAATAAGACGTCAGAATGAAAAACACCATAAAAGCGAACGAAGAATAGTATATACTGATGAAAGACATAATAGAGCATGAAGATATAACCTTGGTCAGCATTTACACACTAAATGATAGACCTGCAAGATACATAAAACAATGGTTAACAGAATTGAAGAAAGAAATATAACACTAAAATAACAGTAGGAGACTTCAACACACCACTATCACCAAAGGATAGGTCAATTCAAAAGAAATTTCACAAAGGTGCATAAAATCTAACCTATACAATCATCTAACTTGACCTTGTGGATATATTTGGTACTTTACCCAACAAAAACTAAGTTCACTTTCTTCTTAAGAGCACAGTGCACATCCCCCAGAAGCAATAGCATATTAAGACACAAAGCAAGCCTCAACAAAATAAATAACATGTGGAAACTGAATAACTCTCTGAGAGAACACCATTGGGTTCTAAAAGAAATAAAGAATGAAATTAAATGTTCCTTGAAACAAATAAAAATGAAAATACAACATACCAAAACCTCTGTGGTACAGCTAAGGTAGCTCTCAGGGGACAGTTCATAGCTATAGGCATACACATAAAAAAGGAAGAAAGAAGAAAAATCAATTATCTAACTCAACACCTAATTAGGGACACAAAAGACCTCTACAAAGAAAACTATAGAACATTTCTGCATGACACACTAAAAGCCCTATATAAATGGAAAAATGTTCCCTGTTCATGGATAGGAAGATTCAATATTGTGAAAATGGCAATCTTACCAAAAGCAATCTACATGTTCAATGCAATCCTAATACAGACACCATACTCATTTTTCAAGGAAATTGAAAGGGAAATTGTCAAGTTTATTTGGAGAGGAAAAAGGCTTCAAAAAAGCAAAGCACTTCTGAAAAACAAAAATTAAGTGAGAGGCATAGCATCCCCTGACCTCAAAACCTACTACACAGTGGTCATAATCAAAATAGCACGGTACCAGTACAACAACAGAAACATAGACCAATGAAACAGAATTGAGAACCCAGAAAAGAACCCAGCTATTTATGGTCAACTGATGTGCAATAAGGAAATAAAACCTGTCA